CTGCCTCCTGAGAAAGAAAAGAGCCTTCTGAACACACAATGGGGCCTGCTTATCTAGAGAATGGGCTGCCTTATTCATTAAGACGGTCTCATGATCCATGAAACGAGCCTTTTGATCCAGAAAATAGTATTTTGAGCCCAGTTTATCAGCCTGTTGGTCAGCAAATATGACCTCGATACAAATTTCGGTAATTCACGTGAACCTCTCCTTGGGCCAAAAGGAAAGCAAAAGCGGCCTTTCCTTTTTTGTTGTTGCAAAAACAATTTCTGTCCCTGCCCTGCCGCCGGGCCGGGAGGGGGTAACTGCCCCCTGTCTTCCCCACCGCTGTGCCACCCATGACCGGCCTACTGAGCATTAAGTGGGAGCAGTTTGTTGCTGCCTGAACTTCAGTTCTGCGAATGATTTTTTTTTGGAGTGTTCCACATTCAGTATACCGCTCATTGTTTTGCTCTCAAGATGCGTGAGCGTGATAGGTCCCTCCCAAATGGACCTTGGTACCTTGAACCCCTCAGATTTCTAGTTTTCCGGGAATTGAGGAAGGGGGGAGAGGGAGAGTGGGCCCATGACCCTTGCAGGATCTTTCCAGTCATTCCACTGGGCACGACACGACCTGGACCTGGACCTGGACCTGGGCTAGGCTGAGTTCTGGTTAAGGTCCAGGACAGTACAGGACAAGTTAGGGGAGAACGAGACGGGGCAAGAGAGCATTCCAGGACGCGGCATGATATGGCACGGGATGACATGGCAAGGCACAGCACGGCGTGGAGGAGCAGCACAGAATGTGTACAGGAGAGGACGGATGAACACCTGACTGAGCAAAACCGGACCAGACCAGTCCGAACTATACCAAACCGGACCAAACGGAACAAAGCGGCACCAAAACTGGACCAAACCGAACAGAACCTTATTGGACCAAACTAGGCCAGGCCAAGATCAGGCCAAACCGACCAAACCAAGCCAAACCAAACTTGATCAGACTAGACAGATAAAACCAAATTGGATGTGAAATAACTGGTGGACGCACGCAACGACGTGTGTCTTTAAAGGAAGTTTGCCACCTTGCTTGTGCTTTCACTTATGGTTAGATGAAAGGCGTACGACTTGATCAATAATGCCAATTCTCTCGAAATGGTTCTAAGAAGCTCAGAATTTCTATTTGAAGCAACCGCTACTGCGGGAGAAATCTCACTGAACTCCTTGCTCACCACTATGAAATAATGCATCACATTTGCTTTGCTTTTTCCACGTGTGTTCTTTGATGTTTGCACCACACCAATTTGTCAAAATGTTTGTGTTATAAATGCTACGAAAGCTCTATACACTCTATTTGGACAAAAACATCAGCGAACAGCAAGTTTTACCTTGCGAATTTAACGAAACATTATACTACGGTTTTGATTTCTCCCCCATGGCTTTTACCACAATGGCTGTTTTGAGGCACGTTTTGGATTTGGGAATAGAAGCATAACATGGTCCAAAGCGACGCATCGGTTAAAATCTCAACTGAAGTGCTTCTCTCAGAAGACCCTTGCCGTCCCTGAGCCAACCATGCACGTTTTTTTTAATTCGCACCAGTACAGGTGCCACTGCGGTTGTCATGACAACGGCGGTCGCGACTGCAGAGAAGAAGCGTATTGCTTTAATAACGAAGCGTCGACAATGTAATTTGGATTCCAAAATAACCAAAATTGATATTCTTATTATGTCTTGGCGATACAGCAGTGGAACTACCTAGTGTTAGTTTAGGCGTAACTGGTGCCGACGTTGCACTAAAACATGCTTTTAAAAAATGCTTCGAAGGTGGGGACAGTCATTTTATTGGTTGGCTGTATTAAAACGTTTTTGAAAACAAATGCTTCTCAAGTGACGGTCGCTCGCAGAGACGTCGGGCACAGCGTTACGCACTTCAGGTAAAATTACGTTTCTCATACTAGGAATATGGCAGCACTACTTGCATTGCTGTGGCCTTGACTAATTTGGTAGCGTTAATCGCTACTGAATGCTGGCTGATACCACCGCAATATAGCGCAGGGCCAAGGTCCTGCTGGTTGTTAGGTGGGTTGCGACGTAATTGGTGGGATTACACGACGTGACATTCTGCCAAGGTTTGTTGGGTTAAGAGTATGTTAATGCTTATATGTTGTGCTTGCTTGATCATCGAGTTTTGTTAACCAGACCCTGTGCTAAGCCATATGTGCATATGTCATGGGTATGACAGCAGGCTCGTTTTGAAGGCCAGCTATTCCTGTCTGTGGGAAACTTGAGAGCAATGATACGCATAGAGCTCGCTTTAGGTATTATGCTTTTTATCTAGCAGTTATATCAAGAGTGTCTCTCACGTATATGAGTTTCGGAGTGTGAGTGAGTTACTCATGATGGCAAACATGTAGGCAGACTGCATTATGTAATAGCCATTTATCATAGATGATGGTATGGTATATAGATCATTACTTTCAGTCTGTAAGCGACCCAGATAGATTATTAGGGTAAATTTAATGTTCTCTCATTCTGTAACTTTACTTTCAGCTTCTGACAGATACTTTGTTGAAATGTTTCTTACTTCACTTTTGCAGCTGCAGTCTGGTGTGAAAGGTTGAATTTTGATGGCAGAGATGGGTCTTGGTTTGAGGTCCAGGGTGTCATATGAGAATGTGTTTGGGCTATGGCTATCCCCAAATATCTATAGTTGATACCATTCTTTGATGTTATTAATCTCAATGCCACTGCACAGTATGGCTCCCTTGGCATTTGAGGTGGTGTCTCATAACATTGGTTAGGTAACAATACTGTTTCCCTTGATATTGAGAAGTGGAGATGGTGTTGGTAGATGCCTATCCCCATGAAAAATATATTTATATGGATATGAATACATTTTGCAAAATTTGTAACTTGCAAAATTTGGCCAATTTTATTGTACAGAGATGAAAAGTCATCAATTAAGCACCAACAAGACAAAATTTTCATGCATTGCATTTTCACACTGTACCAGTGAAAGTCATTGACTCTGATCATGCTACCCAATGATGAATGATAATGATATTGTTTGTTCTCTAAAGTGATCCATAAACCATGTCTTTTTGATCAAATTTATCTGCCAAAAGCATCCATTTCTGTGATGTATTTCAGTTATGCACCATGAAGTCTCTTTCCTTTCCATAGATAACATAATTTAAGGGTGGTCTTGTGATGCTGTGGGCAGCCATATGCATTACACTGAATAATTGGTGATGTAGAAACTTGTCTGTTAAATTCAACTGCTCCAAAGTCTCAATGTTTGACCAGGAAAGTGTTGTTTTAATTTTTTATACTGCACCACCATTTTATGTGCTGCAGTGACACTATGTTAACCCATGCTTTGCTACCAGCCCAATTCTTAAGCAGTTCATCATTTGTGGAAGTAGCATATTCTGCCTATATAACTGTGCAACTTGTAAATATCATTTTAGCCCTAGACACAAATATTGAATATCCACATGCGAAGAACCTGATGCCGAAAATAAGCAGTCAAAGTGAAAAAATAATGTAAATTTCCTGTCTGAAATGCATCAAACTGAAAAGCAACAAAAACTTTTTTGTGTGCATAATTTGTATCTAATAGTATGGATTATTAGTTAAACCACAATACATGATGCATTGTTGCTTATATCTTTAATGAATTGTAAAATAGTCATGCTCATTAGCATGTTTATGCCAGGTTACCTTCAGAGGGGAACCAAACTGTATTGCTATATTCAGCTGACATCAAATACAAACTTGTAAATGCGGCATGTTAAAGCAGCTGTATGAAATCCTATTGATTTGTTTTAGGAGTCATTGCAAGAAATTATGGCATTGCAACTAAGTTTTAGACACCATGTTAGTACCAAGTGAGCATCCAATATTTATAACCTGATTGCAGCCAAATGGTATATGAAGACAGCTAAGACAAATATTACTCAAAAGATTTGGGAAAGAATGGATTGTTCTTAATCACCCTTTCCCCCAAAAACATGCAGGATCTTAATGAGCATGTTTTAGCAAACTGGTAAAAGGTGCATGAGCATTCCGGTATATATTTGGCTTTGCCTGCAGCCATTCAAGCATTGAAAGGTATTGGTTAGAATCATACTTTTTGCTATTTTGATTCATATTATTAAATATTTATAATAGTTTGTCATGGAAATTGTAACAGGATCTGTCAAAATTGTACTTGATCATAAGTTTACCCTACATTTCTACATCATGGCTGACAAGCAGATGCATTTTCTTTGGTACACATATTTCATACCTTTTATAGCCCTGACATATGACATTGACAATGACAATCCATTTTTGGTTAATTGCATGGTGCAGGCTGGCTTACTATGGTGATGCATCTTGTGATTTTTTTTTCTCCTCAAATTATCTCCTTGTTTTACAGTTATATGAAAGCTATCTGCCTGTGGTAATTGATTATGTGGATGATGAATGTGGATGAACAGTTTTTATGACACTTGGTGGAAAGGACAGTTGTTGACCTGTGAAGAGCATACTGAAGCCTGTCAAAAATAATATTGTGGTTTGTCCTAACAGGTCAGCTGTTGGGAGCACCTGCCTTCAGACTCACACACTTTGCATTATGAACTCAAGTCACTTTAGCACTCATTTACATTGAACTTGGATGGCCTTGGGCTGGTGATTGTGACAAGTAGATGAAGATTGGCCTCAGTCATCCAATATTTTTTATTACTTTTTCATTACATTTTTCAGTTATGTGTTACTTGCAATGTTTGAGTGCCCATCTAGGTCATGTAGGCACTTACCACTTTGAATAGTTAAGATGATTTGTAGATAGTGACTAAAATGATCTGTGTGATAGTGGCAGAATATGAGCATGACAATATGGATTCATCAAATCATCACCACATCCTGTTCCATTGTGATGGCCCCACAGGCCATTGACTGTTGTGCTGGTTTCAGGCAGCTGCCAGCATGGCCGGCATCAAGTGTAACATGCGCTCGGCTCACCGCGTACTGCGCCCATGGCGCTGTCGCCGGCCGCCGCCAGAGGAGGTACGCGCGCCGACCTGGCGGCCCGGGCCGCCTCCACGTGATGCCGGTACCGTGGGGTGCCTAGGCCACGGCACCGCAGGGTGACAGGGAGGCTCACCAGTCGCCCCGGAGATGGCGCTATCCGCCCGCGCTGTGCAGGGGACTCTCGCCTCCGCTCCCACTCGGTGGACTGTTGACACAACAGGTCGGAGGTGCCCAGCAACTGAGCGCCGCCTATCGTGTGAGTCTCTGTACAATGTCATGGGCGGGATTTACCGTGACCCGCGTCCGTCCCAGGCCTGGGCAGGCACGGGACCCGACCTGACGTCATATTGGCCCGCCCTGTCCGTGACCCTGCTGGGGTGCTGCCGGCGGGCTGCGAGTCCGTCTGACATCGGCCGGTGAGCGTGCTGACCGCACACTCTGTCGGGCAGCGGCGGTGCGGCCGGCCCTGCGCAGCCGCCTCCTCTGGCTGCCGGTGCGCACGCTCAGCCAGTCGGCAGCCGCCTGCAAGTCGGCCAGCGCCGCTGGCGGCGACGGCGGCGGCAAGAAGAAAGACCAGCTCCGCTGCCCAAAGTGCGGCGACCCGTGCACGCACGTGGAGACCTTCGTCTGTGAGTGACGCTGGGAGGCGCGTGGTATCGGTGTCTGCCAGTTTCAACAAGCGACAAGATATGCGCATGCATGTATCTTTGGCGCTGGAACGTGTGCTTCCGCTGTGCTAAATTGTCGCTTCAACTTTATTTTTATCATGCAGTCAAACCAGTGGGTGCAGTGTCCACCCTCGTCAAGCTTTTGTAAGAGAGGGCTGGCTGATCGCTCGCGGAATGAAGTCGGTCAGTTTCTGCCGGCGAACGTGCGACCTCAGAGCTCCGCGTGTTTCAGCGTCGACGCGGTTCGTCAAGTGTGAGAACTGCCACCACTTCTTCGTCGTGCTGTCGGACGTGGACTCGAAGCGGACGATGAAAGAAAACGAGTTGGGCCACCGCCAGTCGCTGCAGAGAAAACCGCCGCCGCCGCCCAAGAAGGTAGGCGGTGTGCCGCCGACGGATGCCCGTGGTCTCGGCCGCTGCCAGCCGGCAAAACCCCTGATGTTCTGTCCAGAAGCAGGCCCCAGTCGCGGGCGTAGCTTAAAGGATGTGGATTATAGTGACATTGGCGTAATCGCATCCTGCTGGGAAGTTGCGCTGCCGACCGACTTTGGGCCGTTGTCTCGTGCGGACAGCACCTGATCGTGCTTTATATGCTGCCTTGGTGGGTTATGTTTTGTGAGACGTGCAGAAGGCAGGTACTAATTGCTTGTTTGGTAGATACCGTAATCAGTGCATGCACCCAGCCGGATTGCGCGAGGTGCTTGCTCGACCCACCCGATAGCTCGGGCTCTGTAAGAAGTCAACAGGAAAGCCGGTTACAATAGGGCAGCAGCGGCGAACGCCATTGTTTGTCACTGGTGACAGAAAGCTGTCGCTCAGACCAGTTAATGCTTGGCATTCACGGACTAAGCTCTGCCGATCTGCATCGACCACCATCGGCCTGGTGGTGGCTCAGGGATCACACAGGGGTCCGCTGTGAGAAACGGGCTGCCGTCCGTACCGTTGTTGTTGGAATCACCCGATCTCGTGCTTGCTTACTTACGCCGCGTCAGGTTCTCTCACGTCCCAATGGTCTTACTGAGGACACATGCCAAGTCTTGCTGGTGTCAGCAAGATGACGTCTCATTGGTGCTATTGATGCCACGTACCGGGTCCTGTTGGTGTCAGCGAGATCACTTCCCATTAGTGCTGAGGTCACGCGGGCCCTGTTGACCTGACGCCAAACTGTTGCAGATCTACGAGTACTTGGAGCTACAGGTGATCGGTCAGCAGGCTGCCAAGAAGGTGCTGTCCGTGGCCGTGTATAACCACTACAAGCGCATCTACCACAACATGCCAGCGACGGGCGGAGGCGGCGGCGGCGGAGGAGGAGGCGGAGGCGGAAGTGGAGGCGGCCAGGGGCCGACGGCCGGCGGCGACCAGAGCTCACACACCTTCACCCACAGAGGTGAGCGGCGGGAGGTCTAACCCCCGGCGGCGGCCTCCTCACTGCAGCTCGGAGGCCAAAGCAGCGTCCACTCCGGCGCCGTGGCTCCCACGGCGAGAAACAAAGCCGCCGCCTCCGCGGCCGGCACAGGCTGTCACCGGGTCAGGCCAGTGGCACCTCGGCGCCACAGCGACCACTTGCAAATTGTTCCGAGGGCTTCGGGGACGCCGTTAAATGCAGCTGTGGCGGCTTGTGCCTCTGCTGTGCGTGCTCGGGGACCAGCACTGTCGCCACCGCTGGTCGGTGGGGTCGCTGCAGCCGGTCCAGGGGCCGACGCTTCTGTCGCCGCCGGCGCTTAGAGTCGGTGTCGACTGACGCTCACAGTCACCGGAGTGACCCGCCCGCGTGCGTCTCACGCCCATGCGTGTGAGTGGTGCTGTCTGGGCATGTTTCGTTCACCGGAATCGCTCGGCGCGCGGCTCGGTTGCGTCTGCCACGCCAGGTCGCCAGCGAGCTGCCGACGGCGCCGGAGCCGGAGCCCACCGTGCCCGTCCCGCGCCGACAGACCTACTGCACATCACCGGCCTGACGCAGAAACCACGGCCTCGGCGTCACGTTCCACCAGCCGGACGCGGCGGGCGGCGCCGGCAAGCCGGCCAGTCCGCCGGAGCCGCCGCCCGGCGCCGCGCACAGCAGCGACATCCTGGACGCGAAGACGCACCGCATGCAGCTCGACAAGTCCAACATCCTGCTGCTGGGGCCCACCGGCGTCGGTAGGTGCCGCCGACGCGGCCGGCACGCTGCAGCTCGTGCTATCCCGCATGTTCCGGGGATCGCCGCGCAAACGTGGGGCATGCGAATGTTAGAGGTGGCGGCCATTTAGTACCGGAGATATTTGGAAGGACGGGCATCCATGATACAAACGGCGGCCACCCGAAGTTGAAGTGAACCGATTCCCTTGTCCCGAGTGTCGTTGAAAAATCACTGCCGGCCCAAATGCCGTCCAAACATTTTGACAGGCTGAATGCCGCCCCTTGGACCGCGAGGACACACTGATAGCGCGCTCCGTGCTCCTCCAGGGAAGACGCTGCTGGCTCAGACGATTGCCAAGTGTCTGGACGTGCCCTTCGCCATCTGCGACTGCACCACCCTCACTCAGGCGGGCTACGTGGGCGAGGACATCGAGTCGGTCATAGCCAAACTACTGCAGGACGCCAACTACCAGGTGGATCGCGCCCAGCAAGGTTAGGCAGATGCTCAGTCCTCTCAGCGATGAGGAGGCTCAGTCATGTGGTTGGTGCCATCACAGAGCCGTACTCGCCAGTGTATTCGTGCAGGGATTTATTAGGGCCTCACGCATTAGGTGCGTTGTGAAATAACTAATGATATAGATCCCGTTGTGCATTGCTAGAGATGTCACCGGCGAGAGTCAAAGCAACTCTGAGATGTCGTAGATAGCTGACGTAATGTGGAAATGAAGCTGAATGGGCTATCAACTTGCAAAGGAATGAATAACAAGGGGTGTTTTGTGAAGTCGGTGTTCCAGTTGCACTGAGTAGTGCTTGTTATGCGTTCAATGCGGTAGTGAGGCTTAACGGGATCATTTGCCCTGCCGTGGCTAAAGACTGATTGGCTGACGTAAACACTAACGCTGTTTATACCAGAGAAGGGGAAGAGGCCACCAGCCGGCCTATTAGGCCGCTTGCCAATGTCCGGTGCGCCGACCTGCGTCCTCGTTAGGTCGTGTACCGGTGTCCGGTGGGCCCTCGTTAGGCGGTGCTCCGGTGTTCGGTGGGCCCTCGTTAGGCTGTGTACCGGTGTCCGGTGGGCCCTCGTTAGGCCGTGCTCCGGTGTTCTGTGGGCCCTCGTTAGGCCGTGTACTGGTGTCCGGTGGGCCCTCGTTAGGCCGTGCTCCGGTGTCCGGTGGACCCTCATTAGGCCGTGTACCGGTGTCCGATAGGCCTTCGTTAGGCCGTGCTCCGGTGTCCGGTGGACCCTCGTCACGCCGTGTACCGGTGTCCGATAGGCCCTCGTTAGGCCGTGCTCCGGTGTCCGGTGGACCCTCGTCACGCCGTGTACCGGTGTCCGATAGGCCCTCGTTAGGCCGTGCTCCGGTGTCTGGTGGACCCTCGTCACGCCGTGTACCGGTGTCCGGTGGGCCCTCGTTAGGCCGTGCTCCGGTATCCGATAGGCCGACCCGCGCCCTCGCCGCAGGGATCGTGTTTCTGGACGAGGTGGACAAGATCGGCGCCGTGCCGGGCATCCACCAGCTGCGAGACGTGGGCGGCGAGGGCGTCCAGCAGGCCATGCTGAAGGTGAGGCGGCGGCCGGAATCGGCCGGCCTGCCCCCCTCCCCCGGCGTCGGCCGGGGCACCGGACAGGGCGACCCAAGGGCGACCAGCTGCGTGATGCCGGTGGTGCAGCAAGCGCGGCAGGCGGTGTTTGTCAGGACGCCGTGTCAGTTCCGCCTGTCAGCGTGCTGAGCCATGTGTCACGGTCTCTGTCAGTTTGCTTCTTAGGTGACGTTTCAGTTACTTCCCAAAGATAAGTGGCGTTTCAGTCGTATCGCAAACGGTCATCACCATCAGTCGTGTCGAGCGGCAAATAAGGACCGCGCGCCACCGTGTAAGTCATGTGTCGGCTTTCGCCTGCCTGTCGACATGTCGCGTCGAGTGGCGAGTCCTCCTTGTCTGCTAATGAAGTGGCATGCCAATCGTTTCTAGTGGTGCGCCGTGCCTGCGTGTCACCGCAAGTTCTGTGTCAGATCGTCGTACCAGCATGTTGAGTCATGTGTCATGTCTTTAGGTCAACGCGTGAGTCGTGCATCTGCGTAACTAATCGTGCTCCAGGCTCGCCTGTCGCGTCGAGCCGTCTGTTAGGCCCATGTGTCGGCGTGTCGAGTATGTCAGGCTCATGTGTCAACGTGTCGAGTCGTCTGCGAGGCCGATGTGTCCGCGTGTCAAGTCTGTCAGGCCCACGTGTCAGCGTGTCAAGTCGTCTGTCAGGCCCATGTGTCAGCGTGTCGAGCCATCTGTCCGGACGTGAGCGGAGCCTGCTGCCGGCCAGATGCTGGAGGGGACGGTGGTGAACGTGCCGGAGAAGAATTCCCCGCGGAAGCTGCGTGGTGAGTCCATCCAGGTGGACACCACCAACATTCTATTCGTGGCGTCGGGCGCCTTCAACGGACTCGACCGCGTCATCAGCAGGAGGAAAAACGAGAAGGTGAGCTGGCCAGGCGCCGCGCCACCGAGGGCGCCGCCGTTGTCAGCTGGCCAGGCGCCGCGCCACCGAGGGCGCCGCCGTTGTCAGCTGGCCAGGCGCCGCGCCACCGAGGGCGCCGCAGTTGTCAGCTGGGCCTGGTTTGCGTGGTTCGATCTCTGCCTGGTGTATTGGTGGCGCGGTGATTGCGTTGGTAAATCTGTGTTCTCCGCTCCTGGTTTGGATCGTATGGATTCTTGGAACGAGATTCGTCACGCAAGTGCCCATGCGGTTTTACCCGAGTGAAAATTTCAGGATATAGTCTGCGAAGTAGCTGACGCTTCTTTCACGACAGTGGCAGTGTTTTTCTAAGTGCCTGTGTCATTAAGACAGATTGTGGTTTGTGAGGCGCCCCGAACCGCTGTTGCCGGTACGAACACGCTGTAGCCGTTTGTGGTGACTCACCGTGGTCGGCTGGCGTGCGGGGCAGTACCTGGGCTTCGGCGTGCCGGCGTCCGTGTCGCCGGGGCGGCGGGCAGCCTCGCAAGCCGACCAGGCCAACCAGTCGGAGCCGTCGGCCGTTGAGGAGGACAACGTGGAGCGTGACGCCCTGCTCACCGCCGTCGAGGCCAGAGATCTCATCGAGTTCGGCATGATCCCGGTAGGTGGCGGGGACGGCGCGGCTGTCGCGCCGACCCATGCGTGGTCCCGGTGTCGGTTCGACCTGGCGGGACGGGGTCAGGTGGCGCCGTCTGACTCGCGGTGGCAGTCAAGGCTTGGTCGTGGTCGGCCGTGCACTGAACTTGTCCCGTGGCGGTGAGAAGCGCCTCTGCGGAGGACGCGTGCCTGCGCCGTCGGTGTCTGCAAAGTCGCCGCCCGCTCAGAGCCGGGGGCGACCGCTCAGAGCAGAGCACGCGTCCTCTGCGGAGGACGCGTGCCCGCGCCGTCGGTGTCTGCAGAGTCGCCGCCCGCTCAGAGCCGGGGGTTGGGACTGCAAGTGATCGCCTGGCCGCGTGCCGCCGCCGCCGCGTCGGTCTGACACGCCGCTGTGTTGCAGGAGTTCTGCGGTCGGTTCCCGGTCATCGTGCCGTTCCACTCGCTCTCAACAGACATGCTGGTGCGCATCCTCACCGAGCCGCAGAACGCGCTCATACCGCAGTATCAGATGCTCTTCGGCATGGACAAGGTACGGCCCTGTCTCGCCGTGCGTGTCGTGATGACAGAGGGAGCCAGATCGCGGCTGATGATACCTCACGGCCGGACTAGGACAAGTTCCTTAAGCCATGCATCAGTTTGGTGGCGCAGAGAATGTGCCATATGGCATGTTAAGTAATTACGATTGACAGTTTTCGTCAAAATTCAAGCGCGCAGTTGCAGTCATGCCCTTCACGGTAGAGCGGGAACTTTCTGTGTGATTAGGTTTGCCTCTCGGCCGCACGGCTGTTCATCCAACCTGTGCCGTCTGGTGGGTGACGTCATCACGGCTTTCCACGCCAGCGGTGGGCATAAGATCAGGGCCGGACTGGGCCCGGCCAGCAAGCTCAGCCAGCACCCGCTCCGATTGGATTTCAGTACTCGAGTATGACCGGGCAGCGGGGTAGTTCGCGCGTATGAGTCGCATGCTCCGAAGCTCGTGTTGAATCAGTTCGCCGCTGTTGGACACGCGTGCCGGTGACGTCAGTGTCATGTCGCCTGGTGCACCGGACGTCCGGTCTGTGTTGCCGTGATGTGTTGTGATGTGATGACTGATGTGTCGTCAGGTGGATCTGACGTGATGACGTGTGTCATCAGGTGGATCTGACGTCGTAACTCGCATGCCATCAGGTGGATCTGACGTTCAGCGCGGGGGCGCTGCAGTCGATCGCCTCCATGGCCATGGAGCGACGCACGGGCGCCCGTGGCCTCCGCGCTATTGTGGTGAGTGTGGTGCGCAGATGGGACGGGATGGGACGGTCCCGAGACGGGACGATTCTGTTCGGAACGGTCCGCAGACGGACGCCCTACAGACGGGACGTCCTACAGACGGGACGCGCTACAGGCGGGACGCCATGCATACGTGACGCGCTACAGACGCGACGCCGTACAGACGCTTGTGGACCGTATTTCGCACCGTCCCACACCGGCGGCCACCATCTCCCGAACACGTTGGTTGTTGGCTGTCGCACGAACCTGGTACCATCACCTTCGTTATTGACGCGCGGCAGCAAGTATGGTCCCATCCATTCCCGACGGACACACGGTGTAGGTGCCAACACGTCCTTTGTTGATGCTCGCCAACTAGACACGACACACGCCCGCTACTGTGGCGGGCGCGGCATGATCGCCGCCGCGCGTGCCCCTTGTCACGCCGCCCCGCCCCGCTGCAGGAAAAGCTGCTGCTGGACGCCATGTTCGAGATCCCCGGCTCGGACATTGTATCGGTGCACATTACCGAGGAGATGGTGCGCGGCGTCGGCCAGGCCATCCTGGAGCGGGCCGCGCCGCCTGACGACGACGACGAGGTGGCGCAGGCGCGCGCCGAGCTCAAGTAGGCGGCGCCACCGGCGTGTGATACGACCCGCCCGGCGGCGCCACGGCCCTGGGGACCGCGCGGCCGGCGCGGAGTGACACCCCGCTTGGCGGACGCGGTGTCAGCCGCGACCCGGCGTCTGCTCCGGCGCTCCGCACGCGCGGCCGGACGGCGGCGCCGCCGCCCCGTGGCGGTGCCGTGTGGAGAATAGGTCTTATCCGGCCGGACGGACGTGTTAGCGCCCAGCAGACGGCCGCCTCTCGGCCCGCTTCAGCAGGTACCCGACGTACGCAGGGCTCTGGTTATTTGTTGTCCTCGCTTGAGGACGATGCGCTGGTGCGCGAGGCACCCGCGCGCGAACGTCGTATCGGTGTGCGTTGGACTTCGGCGTCGGCCGCCGCTGCGAGCAGTACCGCCCACAATGTACCGGCGCCCGTGTGTGATCTGCCGTTCCCCGTCATTAGCTCCGGCAAGCGTAGCTGTACTCTAGTTATGGGTTTCAGGTACTTTAATAGAGTTCCATCACTAATTGCAATCGATCGAATAGTGACTCGAATGCGAAAATACAAAATGTGGTTCCGCCACTGTGTGACGCCGGGGTGATGTGGACACCTCGCCACGGACTCGGCGCGCTCCGTGGACTGCTGTGGGGTGTGACGCCGGGATGATGTGGACACCTCGCCACGGACTCGGCGCGCTCCGTGGACTGCTGTGGAGTGTGACGCCGGGATGATGTGGACACCTCGCCACGGGCTCGGCGCGCTCCGTGGACTGCTGTGTGCCGGGTATCAGCGGTCGACACAGCGTGCCGGACACCCGGGCGCGCCCCACCCGGTTCCTCTACTACGCCGACGTCTGTGTGGGGCTCATCGGGCGTGAATGAACGCCTCTGGCCGGGTGGCGTCAAGCTGGGCCCCGAGTCCGTCGGAGCCTCGGCTGATTGCTTCAGCCTCGGATGAGAAACCGCAGCTAGCTGGATGCTGGCAAAAGACATCGGCCTATACGCTATGGTCAGGGGCAGCCCTGCAGCGCGTCCAAAAGTTGAGGAATAACAGCCGTTTTGCGGTTTTGAGGTACCTGAAAGTACAATTCCTCCCTTAATGCTCATTTAGCTCCTCACATTCCTGTGAGTGATTCTGAACGGGAGCACAGCCAGTTTGTATTTTGTTAAAGGGGACGGGAGGGGGGGGGGGGGGTGGGGGCTCAGTAGAGTTCTCCTCGCGCTCTTCAGAGTGCAGGGGTTTGTGGAAAGGGAATTCCCCCGCCCCCTGTTTGCGCCTATGACGTGGATATCTGGACTTGTTTTGAAGTCTGCCTGCGTCTCGGGAGTACGCACGCTGCTCTCGTGAGTCAGCAGCCCTGCGCTGTGGATGGATGACGGTCGTCCTTCCCGCTAGAGCTCCAGCTGCAAATGATTGCGGCATGCTCGGTTGCCGTTAGCTAGCTGTGTGACTGGCAGCCATGCCATCTAAACAATCCAGCGACCTGTCTCAGTTCTCTGCTCGGTCCCGTCCATAAGGCGACGCTAAGCGCATGCACCACTGCATCAGGAAACAGTCTGCATGATCAGGACTCCTCCGCTCGCTTCGGGGCAGTCGTGTTCACACCCGGGGTCAGTGGTCCGCTTACCGCTGTCGTCCCTTTCCCCCCGCCGAGGTCAGTGGTTCCCATGCACCCGCGACACTTTCCGTGGCCGCCGCCCGCGGGCCGGCGGGAGGCTAGCACCAGTCGGTGCTGTTTACCTTCAGCTGTCCCCCTCGCAGCGGCAAACGGCTTTTTTATTCTAATGTCTGTAGTTACCGTCGGCGCCCGGGGTGTCCGGTGTCTCTGTTGATCGCATTCCGGGCGTACCCAAACAAACACGGAGGGGAGCAGTGGACGCGTGCTGTCGGGCGGCACTGAGGGCTCACCTGGAGACCCCCTCTCAGCTTTGTTTACGCGGCTCTACTGGCCCAGTAATGGGGACTCCAATGCCAGGGGAGTCGCAGACCGAGCCTGTTAATGGCCGACCCACTCCTGGGGTGTGGTCACGGGTCTGCGTCTTTAGTCAACTCGCCGGAGTGGTGCGTGGCGAGCCGGGCCCAGAAAGACCGGGACGACCCCGCCATCAGTAAGTGCTTTCATGGACATATTGAGGCCCGCACCACGTAAGATACAGCGTTTTACTCGCTCTGTCGGATCCTTTTTGCAGCTTTTTGCGTCTGAAACACAAATGAGTCTTTGCTAGAATTAGGCAGCATCATTTATAAATAGTTTCAAACACCCAAGCATCTTAATTTCCAGCGTGCTTTATTTTACATTACGCGATGTTCTTACGAGAAATATTGTTTTATATCGTGAAATGTTTTCTAGTTTATCACTGGCCTTCCATTGATCAAACTTGTGAGGCAATGTATGTTCATCCCTTCGGTAAAACGAAAACATGGCAACCATAGTCAGATTCTGTCCCATCTGGTGACGGCTGTCAATGACTTGTGTCAATCCTGGGGCACCGGTCTCCGGGGACGCCGGCCGTGTCAGTAGCCTGTGTCGGCGCTCCAGGGGCAACCGGTCTCCGGGGACGCCGGCCGTGTCAGTAGCCTGTGTCGGCCCTCCTGGGGCACCGGTCTCCGGGGACGCCGGCCGTCTCCGTGGCGTGTTCGGCACCCATCACCACAGCTGACAGCGTGCTCCCTCGCTCGGCTGCCCTTCTGGGCTGGTGTTTTTGTCCATCCATGTGCGTACTGCAACCAACAAAGAACCCGGCGAGGTCGGGGGCACGAAAGCAGGTGGCACTCTGATGGTCATGGATCGACGGCGCGTCGGGGTTACTGCGGGATATTTGGAACGCGTGGAGGCGTGGAGATGGCCGCACATTTCAGTCGAAGGAAGCATGGCTTCAAACGTGTTGATCTCAAAGAGCCGAGAGCTGATAATTCTTCCTTTTCTGACTGAGTCCTGAGGGAATTCAGCTTGTGACATGACGATGTAGCTGGGTTCTCGCCCTGAACGGCGATCCGCTGCGATTTCTGTGCAGTGAGGGAGGCGAATGCTGCCACCCCTGCCATATAAACAGCATACAAGCCAGAACCACAGCATACTGATGGTCGGTGGCGACTGCCAAAAACTACTGCATATGCAAATGTTGCCAACTGAGGTCATACTCTCTGAGTCGAATAAAGTCAAAATGCGTAAATTTTGGTGATCGGTGCGTTTGTCTTATTCATTGTTTAAACAGTGTCATTATTCGGCTGGAAAATGCACTACAATAAGACGCAACAAATCTGACACTATAGTGTTAATATGCACGACGGCATGCATAGTTGGCTGGAAATCACAGCACACTATCGCTTGCGTTACTGCCCTTTCCGCGCACCCAATCCCACCCGCTCGTAAAACTTTTTGAGCCAGTAACCCATAATTTGTAACCGAATGAATGTGCTTTTGTGTAACAACACACTTTATGGTCATCTGGAATAGGACAAACACACAGTCTTGTCGGTTCCCCCGGTCATGGAGATTGTACAACAAAACGAAGAGGTGGATGCATTTATTCCCCCCCCCCCCGCCAGTTTCCTGCGTGCGTGTTAAAATAATTGAGATTTTAGCAGCGTGGTGGCAGGTGCCGTCGCTATTCCTGCCATGCGACCTAGTATGCTACCGATCCGGTTCGTCGCAAATACAGCAAGATCGCGTCTGTGTGTAAAACTACCAACTGAAGATGTACTGCGGTGATCGTTTTCCTAGCGCAGTGCACGCATAGCAGAAGAACGCAGCGCATAGAACGCGTGCAGACTTCATGCGAAACTAGGCTTACTCCCCTCGAATAATTCACCAAAGCTGATGCTGATAATCCAGCATGCACCGGTGCGGCCTCTTAGCCAATTCCATGAAATAAGGATGTGCCAGTGTGCACTCGTCTATCTGTTCCCACAGCGCATGCGTGTGAGCCTGTGGCTTGGATGATCTGTTCCGTGTTTGCATCACAGCCCTCGTACTGAATAATTCACCAGTTTAGAGCGGTAAACCGCGACAAACCGCAACGCTCGCGGCAAACTGGTCGCTGGCAGGCGGATTTCTGCTATATCTGCGCGCCGCCTTTCCGGTGTGTTCCGTCCGGACAGGGAGGCTGGTGACCGAGTGGGCGTCGCAACCGGCCCGGAGGCCGACGGCCGCGTTTTCGCCTGTCCCCCAGCCGGCCCGCGCCGCGCCGTGGAGAGTGGTTGGCACGGAGGGCTGGTTCCGACACACGCCGGTGTATCCGGCCGCGAGCTGCGGGAGACAGGCGGGAGAGCGGCTCCGGCTCCGGCTCCGACTCTGGCTCTGGCTTTGGCTCCGGCGTCGGCGGCGATGGCTCGAGTACAGAATCAGGCGTCGGCGGCGATGGCTCGGGCACAGAATCAGGCGTCGGCGGCGAAGGCTCGAACACAGTATCAGGCGTCAGCGACGATGGCTCGAGCACAGAATCAGGCGTCGGCGGCGATGGCTTGAGCACAGAATCGGGAGTCGGCGGCGATGGCTCGGGCACAGTGTCGGGCGTTGGCGCCGATGGCTCGGGCACGGTGTCGGGCGTCGGCAGCGATGGCTCAGTCCACCAGCCGAACGTCAGGTGGATTGTCGAGCCGCACGACGTCTGCCGAGCAGGAAAAAAGCCGTTCGGATGCACGGGTAACGTACCTCACGCCTGATAACGCCCTTACGGCAAGGTAAGGCCCGTAGCCCGAACAAAGTCCTCTGGCGCTGCCATCATCCCTGAAGGGCCGGACATCATGCCCAATGTAGCGAAATGTCTGTAGCGAGGAGGCGTCCCTAACATCGGGTCACCTCCTACTGATCCTCTGGAGGCCGAACAACGTCCGTCGCATCGGGCCGGTCGAAGGTATGGTCAAAGACGGGCGATCTCGCGCTGGCGGTGACATGACATCGTCACGCACCGTCGCGACGCCGTCACGCAATGCGGAGCCGGTGTGTGAGAGCTGGAGTTTAATTGGAGTGTTGTGTTGCGCCTTGAGAAAGTGACGCATTCCTTTGATACATGC